ACTTTGGAGGCAGAGGTGGGGGAATCTCTGTGAGTTCGAGGCCAGCCTGGTCTACATAGTGAGTTCCAGGACAGCTGGGGCTACAAGGAAACCCTGTCTCAATAAAGACAAAAATAAATAAATAAATAAATAATAAAAATAAAGCTTTTAAAAAACTTGGTTCACTCGACTGCTTCCTGGCTACTGTGAGGTGAACCACTTTGCTGGGCCATGATGTTCTGCTTCATCACAGACCCATTAATGAGGAAGCCAGCAGACCATTGACTGTAGCTTCTGCAACCATATTCCCAAGTAAATTCTTCCTCAAAACAAAACAACAACAACAAAAAGATGATCCACTTGGCAATCTCATTTGGTGAGGATGAGAGTCATCAGCAGTAAAGAAAGGGCTCTAGGAACTTCTCAGACTAGGCCTTGGTAGTTCACAAGCAGCTCAAGGCCAGTGTGTCCAATTCAGATCCTTTTCTCTCCTCTCCAAACCTGACTCATCACCAATGTTCTTGTCCCTGGACTGCTACCAGCTTTCTCTCGTTGCACCAGCACTAAGCAGAGACCTTTTCGTTTCCCTCACCACCCCAAAGGAATCCGGTTCGCCATCAAATTCCACCTGTTGCAGTCTGAATTTTTCTCTCAGCAGTGCCCTTTCCTTGCTCCATCATCAGCTTCCTGATCCCAGCCTCTTTTCCCCTGTTCTGGCTCATTCCTAGTTGATTACTTCTCTTCCTCAATTGCTTCAGTCTTCTCCACACTGTTATCAGGGTGATCCACTCTCCCTTCCCTGTCCTTTTCTCTTTCCCTTTCCTTCTTGGTGAGTGTTTCATTTTGAGAGAGGGTCTCCCTATGTTGTCTAGTCTGGTATTAAACTTAGAGATACAAGTGATCCTCCCACCTCAGCCTCCTGAGTACCTGAGATTATAGCCACGCACCCCCACACCCAAGGAGTGAAGCTTCAGGATGCCCCTCCCAGCAATCCATTCTCCAAGTTGATCTTCTGCTTAAAAGCCTTGAATAGTTACCATTGACATCATAATGAAGGCCAAATTCTAGACCCCAAAGGTCCTCCCCTGCTTAGCTGTCTACTTTTGCCTTTCTCCTAGGCTACTTGAACCCAGCCTCAGAGCCTTCCCACAGTTTTATTTTCTCCTACTACCCCCTCTCCTGCCCTACCTTCTTTCCTTACCATTGCCACTTGCCCAATGAACTCCTTTAGACTTAAACACCACTTCCGCAGGGAAGCCTCCTGGACTATCATCCCTGCTACAGAATACATAAAAGGAACTTTTGAAAAAAAATAAATTGGTCTGTAATTACTTAGTTTGACTCATCAACCTCACTACCTCCATACTCCACCATCTAGGATGTGTTCTTGTAGCCTAGCACAGGACTAGCCTCGAGCAAAACTGCAATAAATATTTGTGGAACAAATGAATGTAGTTGTGGCCAGCCTCAAATGACTGCTAGGCAATTTAGGTCATATTCTGTTGACTGTATAGAGCTCTAGGAGGGAAGTGGAGCTTTAGGGCTTTGGGAAAATTGATGGATGAGGGGAGGAAAATATGGGGAACTTGTAGAGACAAAATTTAGGCAGAAACTCTAGGGCTTACAAGGGAATTATTATTAGCCCCACATTCCAGATTAAGAAAAGTCAGACTCAAGGAGCATATAAATAGTGAGTGGCTGAGGTAAAATCCAGCCCAGACCTATCAGATCCCAGAGCTGAGGTCTTCATTACACAGTAAACTGACTGTGACCCTCTGCTTGTTAATGCTGTTCAATATATGGGTTGGGGCAAGTCGGGGCCTGAGTATTTCAGGTCTCTGGCACCTAGAAGAGGGCCTGATATACTGTGATACTTTGTGTGTGTATACACATGTGCATACATGCACTAGGGATCCAACCCAGACTCTTGAGCATACTAGGTAAGCATTACTTCCGACCTGTCTCTAGTCCTTAATTGGTTCCTTTTGAGTGGATGGATGGCCCCATCTCACAGAAATGATAAAGTGGTAAAGGTTTACACCCCGGTCTAGCCACTAAGCAGTCTTGTTCTTCCTCATCCATAAGCCACCTGAGGCCAGGACTGCTTCTGCACCTGGTACTGAGTGACTGCTCAGTGTGATGGGTTGCCCCAGTCTGAGATGTCTGGTGTGAAAGCTTGCTCAGGCCTTACAGGTTAGGCACTGGGTGAGTCAGTCTCCAACGATAAACCCTAAGAGGAATTCCAGGATAGTCTGGGTGAGAACACTGGGTAGCTGCAGACCCAGGATGCTGTGTTCTGCTTATTCATCTGACCAGGAGGCTCAATAACTTCCAGCCCAGGAGATGGCTCTTAATAATGTCACCTGCCATTGATTGCTATCATCTTTGTCATTATTATTCCTTGACAGGAAACAGGCAACTTTAAAGATGGCAGATCTGTAGTCTAGGGATGCTCAGAGGGTGCAGTGATTAGAGGTCTGTTCTTCTGATTGTCCCCCCAAAACCAAAGCCGTGAGCAGGACCTCTTTTAGAGAACACCTTTGAGAGGCAAAAGGCAGGCCTGATCACTGAGAAAAGGAAATGGTTGCAGATTACTTCCATCCCCAGAGAAGAGGAGACCAAGTAGCTGGGACAAAGGACCTAATGAAGTCAGGGACTGATTTGTATAAATAAACAGTGCCCTACCTTTCCTCCAGACTTCAGGACTTCCTGTGGGTGAGAGGCAGCCCTTGATAGGTGGCTGTTGGTGAGGCAGAGTGATTCTGAATAGTTTGGAGTGGAAAATCTCAGTGGTAAAGCCAGATTATTCCTGGGACCAGGCCCAGTGGAGAAGAACCTGACCCCAGGTTCTTCTCCCATGAGAGAGTTCTTCAAGGCTTTCTGAAGGTAGATTCCTCCTGAGGCCTATTCCATCCACATCTGACATTAATGCTTGAGGTTTGCCATGTGGCTCGCTCCTCCCACTTGTCTGCCCTCCTCTCCAGCCCACTGCCCTCTCCCAGATAGCTTTTAGTTGCTTTCTATAAGACCCCAGGCTGACTAGAACCACATTCTAGGGCCTCTGTCCCACTGGTTCCCCTTCATTTCAGCTCAAACCATACTTGCTAGCTGAGTACTATGCTAGGTGCTAGGCCCAAAGCATTAAAGGAAACTCAGTCCCAAGACCTTGGGTAACTCACTGACTTGTGGTTGATGGATATATAAGCAAATATGTGTAATAGGAGATGATAAGGGCACTAGTTAGAAGTCTGCAAATCAGAAAGGAGGAAGCTGGTTGCTCATTCTGCTGGAGGCGGGTGTTGGTGGTGGTGTTGGGAAGGCTACAAAGAGGAGGTGACATTTAGGTCCAGGCCTAAAAGACTTGGAGAATTTCACCTGGCACACCTGGAGGAAGGTGTAAAAGCACCAAAACAAAGGCAAGGAGGTGTGACTGTATCTGGTGTACTGGCATGGTCAGAGTGATTGAGTGACACAGCAAGAAGCCTGGCCACCCCAGAACCCAACCTGAGTGGCACCAGCGTGGGGGAGGGCCATCGTGGTTGCCTGGTTGGGAAGTGTCTACTGATCCAAACTGACTCCCCTCCTGGGGAAAGGTTGTAACCATTCACACAGACGAGAAAGGACTTGGACCCCATCCCAGTTCTGTGTTCATTTTTTATCTTTTATAGGATTGGGCATCTGGAGAGTCAAAAATAGACCTTTGCCCATTGGGACAGAAAGCCTGGAGAATAAGGGATCCAGGGGGAAGGGTTGAGAAGACGGCTAGGAAAGGACTGGACCTGGGGGTCATTCAGAAGGGAACTGGATGCAAAATGGCCTGGCTGAGGGAGTAGGTGAGGGAGGGCAGGAGAGACCTGAAGTCCTTCTGGCTGCTGGTATGGGCTTCATATTGTAAGAATATAATGTTAGAATCCAGCCTTTGCTCAGGCCACAGCAATATCTGAAGCAGCCTCTCTCAGATACCAGCAGGCTCTCTACTGAGACATTGTCTGTGAGTCCCTTGCTCACAGACATCCCCCGGGCCAGGATCTCTTACCTGCGGAAGTGAGTTAACATCAAGGGGGACCACATTCTGCCCCCCACCCACTTCCCTGCCTCCTACCTGGGAATCTAAGAATCTGGATGCAGGCTTGTACTGTGAAACCTCCCCTAGTTTCAGAAGTATGAGAACCCACTTCTGCTATGTGAGCTCTGATCCCTCTTTTGAGAGGACCACCCCCAAGCTGTCTTTCGCTGGTTCTGGGGCCTGAATTCTCAGAGTCCCTGCCATGCTGTTGTCTTTCTGTCTGTCTGTTCATGGCATTAATACTTTTTCTGATAAACTCCTTTCTCTTCAGCAATCTGTCCCAGTGTCCTCTGAACCCCCCTCTGAAACCTTTCACATATTGTTTGTTCTGGAGAGCCCTGAGGGTCTGCCTAGTCCAAGGCCTTACCTCACTCTGTTTTCTCCACAGCTCTTGAGGTCTGTTGTCTGAAAGGCACAGGAAGCAGAGTCTGCAAGTGTGGTCCAGGTTTCCTGATCCCCCAACCTACTGCCACCATGGTAGGAAAAGGTGCCAAAGGGATGTTGGTGAGTACAGGGGCCAGATTTGAGACAAGAAGGGGTGTCATACACACTGCCCCGTGAGACCTCCTACCAGCTGCTTGTCTTGACAGGATGGCCTAGGAGGCTGCATGGGGCCAAAGATTGGCACTACCTGGGCCCCAAAGTGCCAAGGCTGCCCCAGGCCCAGGCAGGCAGGCCCTTACCCAGCAGGTTAGACAGTATCAGGCTCCAATCCCACAACTGGGCAAGTTCTACCACAAACCCAGCAAAGACCTGCCAAGGAACAGAAGGTATCCTCCCTATCCTGGTTACAAGAGGCACTCTGTACTGGCTGCTCTTCCAGAGGACCCAGGTTTAGTTCCCAGCACCCACATGGTGGTTAACAACTGTCCTTAACTTCAATTCTATGGAACTGATGCCCTCTTCTGGCCTCCTTAGGCATTGCATGCATGGGTGCCCTTATATAAACAATACACTTACTATTTTTTTAAAAAAAAAAGAGATGCTCTACAGAGGATGCAGCTTGTCCTACTGGGAGGATAGTAGGACACTGCTGTGGCTATACTCCATGTCCATCCAGTGTTGGGCCACAGAACATCTTCAGATCCTGTCCAGTTTTTCCCTATTTCCCTGCTGAAAATAGAAAGTAACATGTCTTCTCCTAGACTTCACTGATAATCCCCATCTACCACTGCCCTAAACCTGGGCCCTTCCTTTGCCCTCTACCTCAGAGTTCAGAAGAGGTGGCTATCAGGCCCTTCCAGAAACAAGGGCCCTGGGCTGAATGTGGTGGTGTATGCCTTTAATTCTGGCATTGGAGAGGCAGAGGCAAGCAGAGCTCTGTGAGATTAAGGCCAGCCTGGTTTACACAGAGCATTCCAATCCAGCTGGGGCTACAGAGAGACCCTGTCTCAGAAAGAAAGAGAAAAAGGGAAAGGGGAAGGAAAAGGAAGAAGGCCTTGGTCAGAAAGAAAAAGAAAGAAAGAAGAAAGGGAAAGAGGAAGGGAGGGAGGCCTTGGTCAGGTTCTTGAGGAAGCAGGACTGATGTGTGGGGCAGGTTGGTACTGGATACAGGAGCCTATCCTGAGTGCTATGGTTGTATTCCGCCCCCTTGGGAATCTTGCTTCAGGAAGAAGGCAGACTGGGCAGTTATTGGTGTGGAAGCTAGTGACAGAAGACAGCCCCTCCCTCACGAGCTCCCAATCTGTGCCTTCTACTGCTTTCCGTATTCAGGAAGACTAATTGGCTTGGGATCTCTACTGAGACCTCTCCAAACTAACTCTGTCTCTTACCAAAGATTTCTAGGATTCAAGGGCCCTGGTCTGAGGGAACAGTTTGAGGGAGGATTCAGATCCTCAAATCGAGCCTTGCTCAGAACCTCTAGCTCTCAACCCCTGGTCCAGCCCCTCAGGCCTGCTCTGGAGAAATACCACTTGTTAGAATGGGTCTGAACAGACCAAGCTGCTCGAAATGTTCCTGAGCCAATCTGAAATCAGAGCACTCAGGATAAGCACAGGTGGGAGCTCTCTCAAGAGGTGGATTCTGTGTTAAGACCCAACTAGGGCTTCACCTTTCTTCTGAGAAGTCTTAGACTTGCTGTGGGCCTAAGAAGTGAGGGTTAGCTTTGCCTCCTTCTGTGGAGATTCTGAGCTCCATGAAACTCTCCTAACAATTCATATCTGCTCTTTTTCTCTGGAGTGACCCTGGAAAGGCTAGACAGGCAGGAGATATAGGGGACCCACATGGGCAGCACAGAGAACAAGTCACAAGGTCCCACAATCCCTGTCCCGGCTGAGCTTCCGGAACCTTGTGCTCTGCTGGCCAACATGGCCAGCCTGTCTGTGGAAGGGAACACTGCCTTGGGACTCCCATTCCCAGCACCAGGATGTGCCTAAAGATAGCTGAAGCTTGCTTTCCTTGGTGCCCTTTGCCCTTTGGCTTCTACCCACTGCTATGTTTGAGGCTCATAGCGTCTGTCCCATGGGCACCCCCTGTATGCTCAGAGATTCTATTCCTGCCACTGTTCGGTTCTGCTGATGACCTTGGGCTACTCTATTCTTGGGTCTCAGTTTGGAACAGATACTGCCCCCATTCAGTGCTTGTTTCTAGGATACAGCCTCAGAGGTGCACCGGGCAGCCGGACCCTGCCACCCCCGTCTCTATTCACTAACATGGGAGCTAAGTCAGCACTTATTGGGTGTTTGTGTTTTCCCAAGGCCAAGTGGCTGAACTGAGGAAGTTCCTTTCCAATGTGCTCCTTGGGATGTCCTGATGGTTAGGGGAGGGTATGGGGGGGGGGGCTGTGAGCTGATGGCCCTTGGATTGCCCCAGTTCTTTTTTTGGGGGGGGGGTCTTTTTTGAGACAGGGTCTCTTTATGTAGCCCCAGCTGTCCTGGAACTCACTATGTAGACCAGGCCGGCCTTGAACTCACAGAGATCCGCCTGCCTCTGCCTCTGGAGTGTTGGGATTAAAGGCATGCGCCGCCACGCCCGGCTTGCCCCAGTTCTTTGTGGAAGTATTGCTTTTTGAGCCCTGCCATGTAGAGTGGGCAGCTGGCACTCTACTGTGGAGTCCTCATTTCTCTTACCCTTTAGTTCACATTTGAGTGTGAGGATGTGGGCCACTCAGGTCTCTTTAGTGTCAACGTGTACCCTGTGTCATCCTTGGCACTTACGTTGGGCTCTGCAACAGGTGTCCCATGGGGGAGCAAGCCACTTCCCAGCACATGCCCAGACCCACATGCTTGCTGCACATGTCCCTCCCCCCAGTCGCAGCCCAGATGGTCTCTGCTAGGCCAGCTCAGCTGCCTTCCTTATGCCTCAGTAGCTCCTAGGACAGGGCCGTTCGAGAACCCAGCTGGCCAAGTTGCCTCCAAGCATGGGAGCAGCTGGGATGCTTGGAGGCACTTGGGGTGGGTGAGGTGGTCCTTTCATGGAGACTGAGAGCCTCTGAATACATGTGGGGAAGGGCTGCCTAGGTCTCAAAGGACAGGAAAGCCCAGGACAGGCAGCATGAGATCCCCCACTGGCTTAACTGTAACTCTACCATCTCAAACCAACTTCCCAGGCTGGCCATCTCAGTCTTCTCCCATGTGTTGAGCCTCACCTCTTCCATGGCTTTAAAAAAATTGGTTGCATCTGCCACTGGAAAGGCTCATAAATGAATAAAAGCAGAGTCACTCTGACACCAGAGCCCTGGGTGCCAGAGCTTCTAAATCCCAGAAGGCACTGGGAGTGCCATAGGCCTCCTGGGTCTGCCCCACCCTGACCTGTTCTCTTATGTTTTGACATGAAGGTTTGGATCTGCAGCATCTTCTCAGGGCCTAGTACATACTGGGTATGTATTCGCTCACCAAGCCCAGTCTTGGCATTTAGCAAGTACTCAACTAGTATAGGCTTGGCATATATTGAGAGATCACCAAGCACAGGGCTTGGCACACATTAGACACTCCCTTGGTAAAGGGCCTGATAGGGCTGGGCCCTTGATCCAAGCTTTGGCATGTAGCAAATGCTCAACGAGTATAGACTCAGTACACATTGTGTGTGCCTCTTAGCACAGGGCCTGCCACCCAGTGAACACTGAGGTAGCATGGTGCCAAGTGCACAGTGGGCACTTTACCCAACTTAGGGTTGGGAATACATCAGGACCTATAATGGAACAGGATTTGGCACACAGAGGTATTCACCGAATGTAAGACCTGACACCCCACAGCTCACTTGACACTGACTGACACAGCTCTCTCAGCACCAGACATGGTACACAGTAGGCACTCTTCTAACACATAACCAGGCACACAGTGAGTGCTTTCCTACTACACACTTGGCACATGGTATATATTCTTCAAGCATCGAACTTGGCACACAGTGGGTTCTTTCTTAGTACACAGCTGTCTCACAGTGTATTTTCTTCCAGTACTGGGCTTGTCAGTCAGTGGACACTCAGCGGACCCAGGTCGTGGCACACAGTACATACTTTCTTAACACAGGTTTTGGCATACAACAGGTCTCCTAGCTAGGAACTTTGCCTACTAGGAAAATGCCTTTCTAGCTAGGACAGGCTAAGTGACAACCTTCCATTGGTCCTAGAAGTGTGAAGACTGTACTTGGAAAATGGAATATTGAGATCCAGAGGAAAAGGACCTGCCTTCTTCAGCTTCTTCTCTGGTCCTGGGTCCCTGCCCTCCCTCACTTCTCATCTTCCCTGTAACCCACCCACTCAGCCTTATGGACGCATTTCCTCTTACACAGCTTCTGTTAGCTTCCCCACATCCCCAGCATGCCTCAGTCCTAGCTCAGCAGGACCTTCCCTCTAGAGTCACAGGGGACAACAAGGCCCCCAGACTCCTTGCCCCTTTGGAAGCATGCCCGCTCTTATTAAGAAAAGTCAGAGACTGGGGCTGGGGGAGTTGGCCACCCTAAGTGGGGCTGGAACAGCTGGATCCCACTAATGAGGCCTCATTATGGTCAGGGCCCAGCTGGGCTGCTGCCTCCTGTCTCCATGGTCAGAGCCAGGGAAAGCCATCCAGCCAGGGCTGCGTGTTCTGGGCACACAGCCCAGGCCAGGGCAGCCAAAGCCCAGAGCCCACCCTGGGTGGAAATGAGCATTTGGGCATCATGGGTGACTGGGTCTTCCTGGAGCCAGTGGCCCAGCCAGGGCCTTGGCCTTCAGTCTATGCCTGCAGGAAGTCAGGGAATGTGTCTAGGGACTTGACTGCATGACACAGGTCCAGTGAGCAGATGAGTTAATGGGGGTCTTAAGCCATCCTTAAGAGAGTTGCTCAAGCAGGACTGCCACAAAATGGAGAGAAGAATATGTCAACCTCATGGGGCTTTTGGTGATTTGATTTTTTTTTCTTGTATTTTTGTTTCATTTCACTTTTCTTTCCTTTTAGACAGGGTCTCACTATGTAACCCTCACAGGCCTAGAACTTACTATGTAGACTAGGCTAACCTCAAATTCATAGAGATCCTCCTACCTCTGCCTCCCAAATGCTGGGATTAAAGGCATGTGCCACCACACCCAG